TATAATAGAGAGTGACAAATATCACACTTCAGTGAGTCGGGTCACATAACAAGGTATAGAGAGTGACACATGTCATACTTCAGTGAGTCCAGTCACATTACTGGTGATAGAGAGTGACACATGTCACACTTCAGTGAGTCGGGTCATATTACTTGTTATATAGAGAGTGACAAATGTCACACTTCAGTGAGTCGGGTCATATAACTGGTAATAGAGAGTGACAAATGTCACACTTCAGTGAGTCCAGTCACATTACGGGTAATAAAGGGTGACAAATGTAATACTTCAGTGAGTCCAGTCATATTGCATGTAAAAGAGTGTGACACATGGCACACGTCAAGGAGTTGGGTCACATTACTGGTAGGTCATATAACTGGTAATAGAGAGTGACAAATGTCACATTTCAGTGAGTCGGGTCACATAACAAGGTATAGAGTGTGACACATGTGACAAATGTCACACTTCAGTAAGTCCAGTCACATTACTGGTAATAAAGGGTAACAAATGTCACACTTCAGTGAGTCGGTTCATATTGCTTGTTATATAGAGAGTGACAAATGTCACACTTCAGTGAGTCGGGTCATATTTCTTGTAATAAAGAGAGTGACAAATGTCACACTTCAGTGAGTCCAATCATATTACATGTAAAAGAGTGTGACACATGTCACACTTCAATGAGTTGGGTCACATTACTGGTCAGAGAGAGTGACACATGTCACACTTCAGTGAGTCCAGTCATGTTAATGGTAATGGAGTGACAAATGTCACACTTCAGTGAGTCGGGTCATTTTACTTATTATATAGAGAGTGACAAATTATCACACTTCAGTGAGTCGGGTCATATTTCTTGTAATAAAGAGAGTGACAAATGTCACACTTCAATGAGTTGGGTCTCATTACTGGTCATAGAGAGTGACACATGTCACACTTCAGTGAGTCGGGTCATTTTACTTATTATATAGAGAGTGACAAATGTCACACTTCAGTGAGTCCAGTCACATTACTGGTATATTAGGGTGACAAATGTCACAATTCAATGAGTCCGGCCATATTACTTGTTATATAGAGAGTGACAAATGTCACACTTCAGTGAGTCCATTCACATTACTGGTAATAAAGGGTCACAAATGTCACACTTCAGTGAGTCGGGTCATATTACTCGTTATATAGAGAGTGACAAATGTCACAATTCAGTGAGTCGGGTCATATTACTTGTAATATAGAGAGTGACAAATGTCACACTTCAGTGAGTCCAGTCACACTACTGGTAATAAAGAGAGTGACAAATGTCACACTTCAATGAGTTGGGTCACATTACTGGTCATAGAGAGTGACACATGTCACACTTCAGTGAGTCCAGTCATGTTTATGGTAATGGAGTGACAAATGTCACACTTCAGTGAGTCGGGTCAATTATTACTTGTTATATAGAGAGTGACAAATTATCACACTTCAGTGAGTCGGGTCATATTACTTGTTATATAGAGAGTGACAAATCTCACAATTCAGTGAGTTGGGTCACATAACAAGGTATAGAGTGTGACACATATCACACTTCAGTGAGTCCAGTCACATTACTGGTCATAGAGAGTGACAAATGTCACACTTCAGTGAGTCCAGTCATGTTACTGGTAATAGAGGGTGACAAATGCAATACTTCAGTGGGTTGGGTCACATTACTGGTAATAGAGAGTGACAAATGTCACACTTCAGTGAGTCCAGTCATGTTACTGGTAATAGAGGGTGACAAAATGTCACACTTCAGTGAGTCGGGTCACATTACTGGTAATAGAGAGTGACACATGTTACACTTCATATATTGGGTCACATTACTGGTGATAGAGAGTGACACATGTCACACTTCAGTGAGTTGGGAATGTCACACTTCAGTGTTATATAGAGAGTGACAAATATCACACTTCAGTGAGTGGTCACATAACAAGGGATAGAGTGTGACACATATCACACTTCAGTGAGTGGTCACATAACAAGGTATAGAGGGTGACACATATCACACTTCAGTGAGTCGGTTCACATAACAAGGTATAGAGGGTGACACATATCACACTTCAGTGAGTTGGGAATGTCACACTTCAGTGTTATATAGAGAGTGACAAAGGTCACACTTCAGTGAGTCGCGTCACATTACTGGTAAAAGAGAGGGACAAATGTCACACTTCAGTGAGTCCAGTCACATTACTGGTCATTGAGAGTGACACATGTCACACTTCAATGAGTTGGGTCATATTACATGTAAAAGAATGTGACACATGTCACACTTCAATGAGTTGGGTCACATTACTGGTAATAGAGAGTGACACATGTCACACTTCATACATTGGGTCACATTACTGGTAATAGAGAGTGACACATGTCACACTTCAGTGAGTCGGGACATATTACTTGTTATATAGAAAGTGACAAATGTCACACTTCAGTGAGTCGGGTCACATAACAAGGTATAGAGTGTGACACATATCGCTCTTCAGTGAGTCCAGTCACATTACTGGTCATTGAGAGTGACACATGTCACACTTCAATGAGTTGGGCCATATTACATGTAAAAGAATGTGACACATGTCTCACTTCAATGAGTTGGGTCACATTACTGGTCATAGAGAGTGACACATGTCACACTTCAGTGAGTTGGGTCATATTACTGGTCATAGAGAGTGACACATGTCACACTTCAATGAGTTGGGCCATATTACATGTAAAAGAATGTGACACATGTCACACTTCAATGAGTTGGGTCATATTACATGAGTCGGGTCATATTACTTGTTATATAGAGAGTGACAAATGTCACACTTCAGTGAGTTGGGTCATATTACTGGTCATAGAGAGTGACACATGTCACACTTCAGTGAGTCGGGTCACATCTAGTTATGACAGAGGTTCATGACAGTTTACAGTGTTTCATAAAATTAATGGTGTTCAAATATCTATAAATTGGAATGTTTGTTTTAAAAAAAATGTTTCAGTATCTTAATTATCCTGATAACTTATTACTGCATTGATAGTTTAATCTTATGTATGGTGTAACACTGTTTCCCCACTACAATAGAACCTTGCTAATTAATCCAAACACGGATCATTGACCTGACAATATATCTGATCTAAAACTAAAAAATTGGTTTGTTTTCAATTACTTTCATTATAAAATCCAGAAAAACTTTATTTATTTTTTCTGAACATGTCCCTATTGAGGAGTTAAACATTTGTAAATGGTTATAAATTTACAGAATATAATATCTCAGTAAGTTGGTTAGGCACTGACAGAACAAGGAGGGGGGGACAACTCTTTTGTTTAACCCTTTCACCACTGTAGACCATAATGGACTCTTTCAAAACAATTGATGGAAGAGTTTACTAAAGTTACGTAGGGGTGAAAGGGTTAATCAGATGTGACCTGTGATTTAGACTATAAAATATGAAGGTGATTTGTGTGTGTGTGTTAGAAAGTAACACACCATGCAAATTGTGTAAAAATACTTGATGGTGCTGATGGTTCATAACTCTGACACTTCAGGGGTGAGGTCTCTCTGGATCGCCACAGAATGTTACCACTCTGTAATGACTGACTAACCCTTTCACCCCTATATAACTTTAGTAGACTCTACCATGCATTGATATGGATGAGTCCACTATGGTCTACAGTGGTGAAAGGGCTAACCAGTGTTATCACAAAACATTCACAAGCTTTAAATCTGTCAAAGAGTCACTTCTAACATATTGCTTTAAAAAAATCTTTTCTTGTTGAGTAAATTCTTAGATACCCTGAATTAAAGTTCTATTGTTAGATCATTTTTGATTGGATGACCAAAAGTTTTTGAAATATTGTAGATATAAATTAAGGCTGATTTAAGATGACACATGCCCTGGACAGAACAGTGACCATCTGGAGCAATAAATCAATTTGAAGTCATCATAATATTGGATCTTTTTCATATTTACATATGACATATAATGTGAATACCTTTTTATCATCCTATTTCATGGTAATCCGATTTTTAAGAAATGAAATAAATTTAAGGTTCCTGAAAATGTATCTTTTTCAATATCAGAGACATTTTGGGAGTAAAAACCAAAGCAGAAGAGATAGCAAATCCTTTCTGTTCTAATATAGTGATAACACTCTGTTTTAGTGTAGGGGCTATACACTTATCTCTGTTTTAGTGTAGGGGCTACACTTATCTCTGTTTTAGTGTAGGGGCTACACTTATCTCTGTTTTAGTGTAGGGGCTACACTTATCTCTGTTTTAGTGTAGGGGCTACACTTATCTCTGTTTTAGTGTAGGGGCTACACTTATCTCTGTTTTAGTGTAGGGGCTACACTTATCTCTGTTTTAGTGTAGGGGCTACACTTATCTCTGTTTTAGTGTAGGGGCTACACTTATCTCTGTTTTAGTGTAGGGGCTACACTTATCTCTGTTTTAGTGTAGGGGCTACACTTATCTCTGTTTTAGTGTAGAGCTACTAACCCCGCCCCAGTATAGATCGAGATATACTTTTCTCCTGAAGAGTCTGATAACAGCCATTTTATCTCAATTTAACAGTGCAGAATCACAGGCTTTCGTATGCTTTCATTCATTTTTTATATTAGTGAAGTACCTAATCGATGGAAAAACTGTCTAAATTTTTCAAACTTTCTGACAAGATGATCTTCGGTATGAAATGTTTTTGGACGGTAGCAGAGTTCTCTTACAAGGAGGTGAACCTTTTACCTACTCTAATCATGACAATATAAAAAAAAAAATGAAATATGCTTGTCAGAAAAATTTCAAGGCTAAAAGCTGAACAAAGAAAATTGTAAAAAAATAAATAAAAACAAAAGAATTGATAATAATATACAACATTTGAAACACTATAAAAACCACAATAAGATATGTCTGAAGGCCTGGGGATGGGAGTTTATAATTACACAACAAATGTATACAGCTGCATACATACAGGTGACAAGTCCTACGACAAGTCACATGTCAGATCATGTGACCTACCTGCTGCTTCCTGGCCTTGACATCGTTACCCGTAGACTCACTCGTGTTGGAGGTGCTTGTACACTTGTTTTTTGGAATGGACTTGTTGTTGATTTTTGTACCTCGTAATATCAATTCACTCGTATCCTGCTCATCTGAAAAACACATAATTCGTGTCACTCTGTTCACTATTAATCACATTCATTCATTCAATCGGGCTGTGAATTTAGGGTACATTACAATTGAACGTCCGTCAAAACTCGAGAAAACATCAACTGCTTTGCGGACTACACACTTGTCTCTGCTTTGTGATTAAAGTTAATAGGAGATTATTAATATGTAAATAAATATAAGAAATAAATATATGTAGATACCATTATTCATCTCCAGATTTGCAAATATATATCGCAATAAGCCGTCGTTGTTCCATATCAACGACTTCACTGTTTGTCATGATTTTTGCCGATGTCAACTCCGATAGTTTGAACTACTCTTTATTTTAACGGCTATAATTTGGTGTTGTTCGAATAGGATTGACAATATTTTTTCTTTAATTTGGTTCAAACTGACCGGAGGTTTACTGTATTATTGAATTTCGACAGATTAGCACATTGATACATTGGCACACTCACAATACATGTAACAGAACTCTTTCAGGTATATATAGAAACTTTAGCACTTTACTACTTCAAAAGTATAAACTAATTAAATTCGTATTTCCCTGTTTTGATTTCACTGCATCAATCTTGAACCTACAGGGATTCTCCAGGCCAAATATCAGCATCCTAGCAAAAATATTCCATGTCACCTTAAAGGATTTTAACACTTGTACCTACATACCTTAACCTGTAAATTGTGGCAAAAAAAGGTTAAGTCCAAAACAGGTGTCAAGTTTTAACTCATTCACCCCTGAAAATTCATGTTGAACTATTCCAACCTTTGAATTGAAAGAGTTCAAATGTGTCTTCAGGGGTGAATGTGTAAAATATTCAAATATTTTTCATCAATTTTGACCCTGTAAGAAACCTTCATGCTGGATATCAGCATCCTGGTACAAATATTTCAAGTAATATTAGTGACTTTAACTCATTCACCCCTGAAATTTCAATATCAACTATTCCAACCTTTGAATTGGTAGAGTTCAAATGTGTCTTCAGGGGTTAATGAGTTAAACACTTGTATCTTAACCTTAAACAACGCTAATGCCGAAGCTGGGGTGACAACATTAGCCCCTAGCCCCATTTTTTAAATAGGTGAGCTAAAAAGGAATAAAATCACTTTAAGGTCAGTACCATTTTTTTTACATAATTCAAGTGAACTGTTTTCTAAAACTTTTCTTTATGTCAAAAAAATATCAGGTGTACTTAACCCTTTCACCGTGCACTGTAGACCATAATGGACTCATCCATATCCATGCATGGTAGAATCTACTCAAGTTACATAGGGGTGAAAGGGTTAAAAGATCAAACATAACATATGAGAAGACAAACAAATAGAGACCATGATATATTCCTCTAAGGCTGATGTATTAGACCTAGCTAACTTGAATGAGACTGTAGTATTACCTCCCCTTTTGGAAGTCTTCCTAGCTTACCTCTGTCCATAGGATGGATTTTGGCTTTGCTGACAGAGGAGGGTCTATCTGCGACCTCGTCAATGACTCTCTCCACCCCTCCGTCACTCCCTGAGCTGAGCAGTGGCTCTGAACATGAAGGGTCGATCCTGTAACGTGAATACCTTATCATCGTATCAACTGAGTATACAGTACCCGCAGAAACTCCTCAAACTTCTCCACAACAGCTGTTCTAAACACACTCTACACATCCAACATACAATTGGTTCCTAATTCAGATTTGGAAAAATATCAGCCAAACATTTTTCATATCTTTATCTGCAATGAAATTCCGGTAGTTTTCTATCCCTTTCAAATAATGAAAACACAATACACAATACACAGTGGTTCTGTAATCTGGTGATTGACCTGGAATGCTTAATGTAAAATTAAAGCCAATTGTTCAGTTTGTATAAATTTTAAATTATCAAAATTGATAATCAAAGTTGAATGTTTAGCAATTCCACATCATTATCTGGAGAGAAGAACACAAAAATATTCCTAAGATTTAAAACATCCATTTTAAAATTTCCAGCTACAACTCGTAAGGCTTATATGAGTTAGAACTGTCTGGCTAAGAGGTGACTGGTGAAAGTGTCACGGTGTAACATGTACATGGTATTACACAGGTGGCGCCATCGGATTTAATCCCAGTACTAATCTGTTTATATCCGGTGATAGACCGAGTCGACAACCTTGAGACTCTTAAAGTCTTATATTACCTGTGGGTGTTTTAATCTAATTATACTCAAGTCATAGCCAGGTTAAGCAGCTTTCATGGTTTACCATATAAATTTTAATCAATTGTTAAGTGTTTGTAATCAGTGTCTAATTGTATTTCTATATGTATATGTAACATGAGAGGAAATATGCACGGCCAGATCTGGGTTTGAACCCAGGACCTTCCGAACTCTAGACGGATGCTCTTCATATTAAGCTCTCTGGTCACTGACAATCAACCCAGTCCAGTTACTCCCTCCCTTTTCTAAGACTATGTCCCCGGAGACACAACTTGTTACAACCCAGGTTCAGGTATCCCCTTGCCAAGCATACACCAAATGCTTGAAACAAGGGTTGGTCACCCCTGTAACAGGAGAGGAAAAAAGCATGGCCAGACTGGGGTTCAAACCCGGGACCTTCTGATTTTATCTAAGTAATTCCTCTTTCAATTTGATACCATGCAATTACAATTCCTGGATAAAAATATTGGTAAAGTGTAGTAATGGCAGTAGACAGTCCGAAGTTTGAGCTCAAGAATTTCTATTTTTCCTTTTGCAGTTATTTTATTTTTGTCTTAAATTCAAATGAGCAAATTATGAATAACTGAATAATTCTGTTAAATGCATCACAAGATAATGTTTTATATGGAGTAAATCAGTTGAAAATAACCCCAATGGTACTAATATAGTGTGACTTGAAGGCACTCTTTATTTTATTGTTTTATTATTCAATAGCTCTGAATATGTGTTGAAAAATAAATTATATTTGAAATAATGCAAAAAAAACAAAAAAGGTCCTTGTGACGTTTAAATATAAAAGAATTGACAAAGTACATCCCAACTATCCTTTATCTTTATATACTTTCACCTCTTAAGAGGTTCATCAGGGGAAATCCCTGATATATATATATATGTATATATTTATGATGCAATAATGAGAATCTATAAATCTAATTAGTTCACACATTTCATGTGCTGATTAACTCATTGACCCCTGAAGACACATTTGAACCCTTCCAGTTCAAAAGTTGGAATAGTTCATTATGAAATTTCAGGGGTGAATGAGTTAAAGTAATTACTCGAGGCATTTATGTCTGAATGAAACCTTAGCCTTGACCGTGACATTCCAACATGTAGAATACAACATCATCATCAAATTACTTCCTCCGAGTCTGTCGTCATCAACAACAAAACATTTAGTTGATCAATTTGTAGTGAATTGTTTACTGTAGACTGGCGTCATTTGGTTTGTTTAGTTTGTGTTTTATGTCCTATTTACAGCTATGGTCATTTATGGTGGAAAGCCGGAGTTCCCAGAGAAAAACCACCGACCTACGGCCAGTACCTGGCGACTGCTCCATGTAGGCCTCGAACCCGCGCCCCAGTGGTGGAGGGTTAGTGGTAGAGAATGTCAGATGCCTTAACCACTTGGCCACCACGGCCCCTGACTTGAGTCTATATCAATGTGGTTTGTAATGTCTATATCTGGTACCCATCTGGAAGAAACCTTACAAACAAAATTAATAGTATATCCAGTCAGTCAAACACTTCATATAAGTGTTAACTCATTCACCCCTGAAGACACATTTACACTCTTCCAATTCAAAGGTTGGAATAGTTCATTATGAAATTTCAGGGGTGAATGAGTTAATATCCTGGTAACAGAAAACAGAATGACACTCATCTGAAAACTGTTAATTATTTTGGAAAACGAACTATCTAAAACTTTGTTGTAATTGACCTGTAATTTCAGACAACACATGATGTAATCACATATAATAATCAACAACACTTTACCGTACCATCTGGCCTGTACCTGTAAACAATTTACCTGTATTTACACCTGTCGTCTATATCGTACCTGAGCTCATTTTCCGTGATGGATGAGTTATACAATCCTCCTGAGTCTATCTCTTTCACACACATCTCTTTTCCACTGGAAGTTGAATTTTTAAATTTATTCACTTTTAACTTGGCATTTTTCTTCTTATGGAGATGAAGTTTATAGGCAAAACATGGCATAGTAGGTGTATTTACAGAGCTGGAAGGAGTCGTGGCGCTTGACGTCGATTTCACATTAGGGGTGAAATCTAAGTCCGTTGCTAATGCATCAAAGTCATCACTATGGAAGCTTTCTATGCGCGCGAGGGGCATCTGAAACATTTGTCGCGTGGGTGTGTTCGGCATGACGAGATTATACAGCGACACATTGGAGCAGCGAGTTGACACATTGGAGCTGTTCGTACGCCCATCCTCTAAATAGGCCTCTACGTCAGGGCTATACTCTAGCGCATTCGCGAACTCACTGGAACGTCGATAATGCAAGCCTCTTGGGCCGTTCTTAGGAGGAGGCATGTGAACCTCCCCTGTAGATAATGTGTTCTTCCCATTAACCGCCTGCTTGTGATCCCTATTAGAGCACACCACTCCACGATCTGTGATGTCCATTGATGAAGGTTCGGGCAGGTCCACCATTTTGGTGGCGCCCAGTAGTTCTGTGGTACTATCCACTTGATCTTCGTTTATCTCTGTATCCAGTGTAAACAGCTGCGCCTCACTGTTGCTGGCCTCATTACAATCCGACACATTAAATTCACAACACTGAGCACACCGTATCCGTGGATTCTTATCTTCACTTGATTGCATAGATGTGGGTACCACATGCTCCACCGAGCTTGCTGACAATATCGTCCGCGAATCACACACATTACCAACTTTTGACGTCACATTCACTAATTGTTTCTTGTCCTGTTTTGCAGACACTTTGGGTCTCACGATGGACTTAATGTCTACTAATGCAATACGGGCCTCTACAGAGTCAAGCCCATCCTCTGTTAGTGACTCAAGGTTATCATTGGACGATAATTTGGCTTCAGCAGCTGTTTTCTGCCCCGAATCTATGACATCCAAGGAGTCATCTGTGTGGCTGGGGTCAATGAGCGCTTCGAGGGAGCCCGCACAGCTGAGTAGTTCGGTGGTGGAGCATGGGTTTGAACTGTCTGAGTTATTCCTACACTTTCCTGTTGTATGCAAAACAGGTCCATTGATGTTTGAGTAGGAATTACTCTTGTTGGCAGGGACATGAAGGGAGAAGGGTGAAAGGTGATAGCAACCCTTCACACTGAGATCTTTGGGACGCTGGATAGGAAGGGGGCGAGGCGGGTCTATCCGTATAGAAGGACTGAGCAGGGTAGTGGGACTGTTAGGCTGGGAGCTACTGGAACCCTGCACATCCTTTAGACTGTTTGTGCGACGATTCCCCGGTCCATAAGAACTTGACCGTTTTTTACGCTGGGAAGAGTTGCGACGACTGAAGGAACGACGGTTGAAGGCCATCTGTCCGGGTTGCCCCGGAGACAGGAGGTTAGGGTTGCTCGGGTGATTTGGGATGGAGTTGATGGTATCGTTGCTGTGGCTGGGATCCTACAAAACAACACAGTACTTAAGTCAACATACCAGTATCACACACGTCACAGAAGACATGGTAGGAAGGGTTATCAACAGATTTTATAATCACACACAAACATAGGTCTAACCACGAAATTATCAATACAAGGAGAACAAGAGCTATAAACATCATCGGAACAAAATAAAACCCATAAGGATAACCCTTTCACCATAATGGACACATCCATATCAATGCATAGTAGAGTCTACTTAAGTTACATAGGGGTGAAAGGGCTAAACATACAGTTTAACGAAGATAAGATTTCCAGACTCTCAATGTTTATACTGATTACTTGATTGTTGGTGAATCAGCATGAACAGACTACCAAATGTAATAAACATTTCTGCACTGGAGCCCTTTTAATTTAGCCACACTTATTTCAAGGGGAAGTGGTTTGATTGTGAAACAGCTGAAATATTAGGACATTTATTTTGTAGAATTAATCTAGAATTTTGTGAACCCATATAAAGTTATATGTCAACTCTATACAGTTAACTGTCGCCCATAAGGCAGGGCTTACAACATCGGACAGACTTAAGATCTGCAATTTTTCCATATATGTACTCAAATGCATTACTGTGAATTATACCGCAATAATATTTACTATGGATCCTGTACAGTGTTCAGTTGAAGACCTAAACGTAACCCAAGGACTGTGTGGTCTTCAATCTGATATTAAAGCTTGTATACTACATGTATATGCGGTCTATAACCAATATATATATATATATATTACCTACATTGTATATTGCAGACTAAATCTAATTAATACACTATTCTATGGGAGTTATCCCCCCACCCCCACCCACACCATATTTTATATAATAACCTCTTAATTATGTGAATATCTAATTACAAACGTTAATTTTTGACAGTAAGCAAAATCTTATTATTATAAAATCAATCCATTATGTCCATATACCTACCATCAATGGAGAGGACTTATATAGGCTATAAGCCTGTTGTCCAATCCTTTTGACAGTGAAACATTCTTCTATGTCAATAAAATATGTTGAAATCGAAATCGGACAGACTTTTTGTAATAAGTCTTCTACTTTTTTCATTCAAAATGTAAAGGAATCTGTTGATTCCAAAGCTGTGTTTATCTTACTGGAGTTTACTGGTGAGTGGACTTATGAGGTTTGTATAGATAATGATATACGTGATAAACTCGATCACTGTGATTGTTACCGATGTTTGATTAGGAGACATAAGTCTGTTGTAGCGTAGTGACCGCCTCGGTTTTGCTCGTTTCTTCTCCGGTCCCAGCCAGGAGGGGGCGCTGCACAGGGCCATGAAGTCGAAGCTGGCGCTGACCTTGTGGTGGTCGTTGGCAGATCCATCTCCAGACTGACCAGTTTTTGGCGACAGCTCATTGCCATTTCCATGATGTTCCCCTACAAAAAAAATCAAGAATGAGGTATAATTCATTATAATAGCTATATAACTCATTTACCCCTGAAGATGCATTTGAACTCTCCCAATTCAAAGGTTGGAATAGTTCATTATGAAACTTCAGGGTTGAATGAGTTAATGTTTACGATACTGCACAAATTCTACCTGTGATTTGTGTTAGGGTTAAGTTATTATGGGTATAATAATGCACATATTGATAGTGTGCTACCTTACACATTACACCTGTGATTTGTGTTAGAGTTAAGGCTTTGTGCTACCTTACACATTACACCTGTGACTTGTGTTAGAGTTAAGGCTATGTGCTACCTTACACGTTCTACCTGTGATTTGTGTTAGAGTTAAGGCTATGTGCTACCTTACACATTATACCTGTGATATGTCTTATCGTTAAGGATATTTCCTACCTTGCATTATTATACCCATAATATGTGTGAGAGTTAAGGACATATACATGCAACTTTATACATTATACCTGTGATTAGTGTTGAGTAAAATCCTTTATCTACCAAAACATAGTACTAGGGTGATTGACAGACAGACTGACAGATGGACAGCTGATGGACAGAGCAACAACCTGAAGTCCCTCTAGCTGTTAGAAACTTTGGGGCACTGTCTAATGAACCTTTCTAATAAAAGAACTTGTCTTTTGAAATACCTGTATAATAAAATACCTGTATAATAAAATACCTGTCCAATGTAACTCTAAATTTCTAATTTTCAGGATTCATTAATCTAGAAGTCATATCACACTATGAAAAGACACATCCTTATAACATTATCAGACAGTTAGGAACATTCCTCATTTTGAATTTACATTTTGAAAGCAGCTAAGAATTTCAAAACAATCTACAAAAGAATTTTCATAATATACATTTTTTTTTTAAATAAGAAATGTTTAAGTCTGAAGTTGATTCAGAACTTGATTTGCAAATAATTGAAGGCAATATAAGTGTCTCCCCCAAACACTTTGATTCCTGTTGACCGTGAGGTGCTCTAGTTGAGCTTGAGGTGTTTTTATTGACCTTGAGGTGTTCCTATTGACCTTGAGGTGTTTCTATTGACCTTGAGGTGGAGGCTACAGTTTATTTTTCGCTATTTATTGAAAGCATATGCTGACTGCTTACCTCCCCTTGCAAATAAATATTCTATTCATATAATTATAAGTAAAGCAGCACTTTTTTATTATAGATATTTTAATTCTCCAGAAAAAATATAACAATCAAGTCAGACTTTTTGCTAGTTTTTGAAGTGCATTAATGGTTTTTGTTGAATTTTTCCTGGGTGATGACACCATCTGGTATAAAAAAAAATCTAATGTTTTCAAATGTTTTTTTCTGGATTATTGTACAACATCAAAGTTTTTATAGCTTAAATATTTCTTGAATTTCCATAAAGTTCCTTTAACTTGAAGAAAAAAAATCTTCAATGTTACTGAAATCCAGTAAATTGTTACCATGTGATGACCCGCCTTCCTTCTCCAGTGCTCTCTGTTGCATTGACTTCCTCTTGTGTTTCTTTGTTTTAGTATCGAGCTTTTTCTCAGGCTGTGTAGTGTAATCAATCTCAAATAAACCTGGAACAAAGTCATACACATTGTCAAAAAATATACCCAGAACAAAGTCATACACATTGTCAAAAAATATACCCTGCACAAAGTCATACACATTGTCAAAAAATATACCCTGCACAAAGTTATACACATTGTCAAAAAATATACCCTGCACAAAGTTTTACACATTGTCAAAAAATATACCCAGAACAAAGTTATACACATTGTCAAAAAATATACCCTGCACAAAGTTTTACACATTGTTAAAAAATATACCCAGAACAAAGTAATACACATTGTCATATATATATATATACCCGAACAAAGTAATACACTTTGTCATATATATACCCCGAACAAAGGCTATACACATTGTTAAAACATGTACAAAGAACAAAGTTATACACATTGTTAAAAAATAATCTAAAAGAAAAAGAGGTTTATTTGTAAAAGGACTCATGATCATGATGCAACTGTGAAAAAGGAAATTATAACATAGCTTGGCTTTTCTTTTTCAACTGTCTTTGTAGTAAACTGATTTTATCACTTATTGGCTTACCTTTCTCACCTTTTCTCATCTTAAACTGATTTGACCACTGATAGGCTTACCATTCTCACCTGTTCTCATGGTACACTGATTTGACCACTGATTGGCTTACCTTTCTCACCTGTTCTCATGTTAAACTGATTTGACCACTGATTGGCTTAACTTTCTCACCTGTTCTCATGGTACACTGATTTGACCACTAATTGGCTTACCTTTCTCACCTGTCCTCATAGTACACTGATTTGATCACTGTTTAGCTTACCTTTTTCACCTGTCCTCATAGAACACTGATTTGACCACTGATTAACTTACCTTTCTCACCTGTTCTCATGGTACACTGATTTGACCATTGATTGGCTTACCTTTCTCTCTTGTCCGCATGGTAAACTGATTTGACCACTGATTAACTTACCTTTCTCACCTGTTTTCATGGTAAACTGATTTGACCACTGATTGGCTTACCTTTCTCACTTGTCCTCATGGTAAACTGATTTGACCACTGATTGGCTTACCTTTCTCTCTTGTCCTCATGGTACACTGATTTGACCACTGATTGGCTTACCTTTCTCACCTGTTCTCATGTTAAACTGATTTGACCACTGATTGGCTTAACTTTCTCACCTGTTCTCATGGTACACTGATTTGACCACTAATTGGCTTACCTTTCTCACCTGTCCTCATAGTACACTGATTTGATCACTGTTTAGCTTACCTTTTTCACCTGTCCTCATAGAACACTGATTTGACCACTGATTAACTTACCTTTCTCACCTGTTCTCATGGTACACTGATTTTATCACTGATTGACTTACCTTTCTCACCTGTCCTCATAGTAAACTGATTTGACCACTGATTGGCTTACCTTTCTCACTTGTCATCATGGTAAACTGATTTGACCACTGATTGGCTTATCTTTTTTACCTGTCTTTGTGTTAAACTGATTTGACCACTGATTGACTTACCTTTGACACCTGTTCTCATAGTAAACTAATTTGACCACTGATTGACTTACCTTTCTCACCTGTTCTCATGGTAAACTGATTTGACCACTGATTGAATTACCTTTCTTGCCTGTTCTCACGGTAATTTGATTTGACCACTGATTGGCTTACCTTTCTCACCTGTTATAGTAAACTGATTTGACCACTGATTGGCTTACCTTTCTCACCTGTTCTCATAGTTCACTGTTTTGCCCATTGATTGGCTTACCTTTTTCACATCGTTTTGTGTCCATGATCATATTAAACATGGCTGACAGGTCATCACACTTGCACTCATGTACTGTCTTCTCCACCTGGTCCTTTTTCATACTCAGCATGTCCGATAGCTCATCCATTACCTGTAATTACAAGCCATAACAAGGTTTATTACACAGGTAAGTCATCTTACAGGTGAAACTATCACAGATACTAAATTAACTTTATCACATGGAATAATAAAAATGTTATGGTGGTTAGATAACAAACGTCTAAGGTGAAGTGACCATCGCTGCAGGTGTTTGTCTGTGATGTCAAAGTGTCAAAGTGTTTAAAATCTTAACCGAGAGTAAAACTTTAATGGATTCCTAAACCAGAGTGGACTTGTTGAACTTTTCCACCTACATGTATGTGTTACGTTTAAAGGAACATATTTAATCCTAAAGATAAACACTTCCTGTTAGACTGAACTTACCCAAAGACAATCTTATTACCTCCCTTTATACACCATAATGCAATGACTCCTGATCCCAGCGGCATAGCAACGGCTTAACTAGAATGTTGTCATCATAGCCCGGGCTTAACTAGAATGTTGTCATCATAGCACGGGCTTAACTAGAATGTTGCCATCATAGTACAGGCTTAACTAGAATGTTGTCATCATAGCACGGGCTTAACTAGAATGTTGTCATCATAGCCCGGGCTTAACTAGAATGTTGTCATCATAGCTCAGCTTAACTAGAATGTTGTCATCATAGCACGGGCTTAATAATTAGAACTAATCTTGAGGCGTGTCACAAATGATTTTTTTTTTACACTTTTGGAACAAATAGACAAATCTCTCCACTTACATATGTATGTGTGTAGTTAATCTGCAGCATAAACATGAAACCAAATACTAATGTTACACCAATCATGCAAGGGAGATAATTCTCAGCCTTAACAACATTTTTGCACAAATATAACAAATAAATAGTTAATCACATATTTGTGCTGATCATTTCTCTATTTGTAATAGCCCCCTTTTAATCTGGACACAGATAGTCTTAGATTAGAAAATAAATACCATGTCAGAACTAAATTTCATAATGTTATGTGCTATTTTACACATTACACCTGTGACACATGTTAGAGTTATCTCCCTTAAGGATGTATACTACCTTTCACATTTTACCTATGATATGTGTTGGAGTTTTCTCCCTTAAAAATATATACTACCTTTCATATTTTGACCAAAGATATGTGTTGGAGTTATCTCCCTTAAGGATAATTTCTATCTAACACATTATTCCATTGATATGAGATTATCTCCCTTAAAGATGCATGCCTCCTTGTTTGTAATATTTGTTATGTTTGAGTTATCTTCACTACCGATATATTCTATTTTACTGTTATACTTGTGATATGAGAGTTACCTCCCTTAAGGCCTTTCATATTTTGCATGTGATTTGTTACCTGTGGTCAAGCTGACATAACCGTTATATGTGGAATACAAATATTTCCAGGATATATAGATGTTTATAATAAAGGTTTAAAAATATTACAATAAATATGTAAAAAAGTTCAACATCTTCAAAGAATGGAAGATGAAAATCAAGAAAGATTTTTGTCACAATTGAATAGGACACTACAAGAAAATCAGAAGATAAATATACAGTATATAGCCAGCATCCAGCACAATATCAGAGCGTTCCAGTGATTGGGGAAGTAGCTCAATGCAGCTAAGATCAAGTGTATGGACACAATACTGATAGAACAAGACATAACCTGCACAAGTAAAACGGACTGAAACCAAAGAAAAACATTGTTCATTGCTTGGAAATGGAGAACAAGATATATCAGGAGCCATCGTTTTTATTAGAAAATGGTTGTTACATGCTGCAAAATGAAAAGAAAGCAACAAAGCCTGTTAACAAGTCTGCAAAGATAAACAGAATCGAAACACAATCCGGTGCCACGACCAGGATCTGGCATAGACGGCTGCCCTGTATTGACCACCTATATCTCATAATCTCCATCTCCTGGGAAAATCACTTGGGAAATCTGTATCAGGAAAGTGCTTTATTGAAAGTTTTCCAGCTCTGCAGGCAGACTGACTAAGTGGCATCGCTGTGTAACATCAAACATACCACAACAGACTGGAGTAAATATACAGAAAACAAAGATACCCAAATACTTGGTAACAGGACATCATTGATGCATTGATGCCAACAGAACATAAAAGAGTTGTCAGATGTGGTTCAAGATGCATGGCCATAGATTTTGTGAGAGGACAGGCATTTGACAATATACATATATATATAAACCTCATGTTTACCTCCTGTTCTAACTCGTCCTCGCTCTGGGGCGTGGTCTAATGGGCAAATGGACATAAACAATTGTAAAATATTTAATGTACAAGCAAAACTAGTCCGGGGGGGGGGAGGGCCCAGCGTTGTATATATACGTCACTACAAAGGAAAGTTTGTTACTACAAAAAACAGGTTTGGTGCAAGACATAAAACCACAACCATCAAAAAGTTCATTTAAAAAATTAAAATAAAAAGCAAATTTAAGCGATAGAAATGTAAATCCCAATTGGTTTTCTATGTTAACCTCTAGATTAGAGACTGATTAATGTACTGACCAACCGAAAGGTCAAGGTTCATTTTCTTGGACCTACGGGCCATTTGTACTATATCTATATATGCGTAGATACTAAATCAAATGTAAATAAATGTATATATCAAATAATGAGGCTAATGATTTATCAAAATATTTCTAGATTGGGTTTTAAAAAAAAAAGGTATTTGTTATCACAGAAGGGGGAAATAAATTGTGAAAACTCATATTTTAAGGACATGTACTTAAAACAAAGTAATGAAATATGTAAGAAATAAATATCAAAATATTAACGAAATCCTTCTCCACCCATTCTTGTTATGAAACGATATCTTATGAATATGACAATTCAAAGTAAAGATAAATAATAAAGAAAAGACAAATAATAAAGAAAAATAAATGAAAATGTATAATAACATTGTGTTTGGGACACAAAGGTAAACCAAAAAGCTAGAACTAAAGGCTGTGTGGCTACGTTGACTGGTGAAGAAAAAAGCTGAGGGTGGAAAGCTTACTGTTATTGAATGTGGTGGTCGGGAAGGAAGGGCGGGACCGTGTTTAACACAACTCAATGTTTGTGACCGATTCAAACTCCCTGCTGCTAAGTGACACGCACTTTGACCTGTTGAATTCTGGGAAATCGGAACATAGACATTATACAGAATGTGCTTAAATATATTTTCATTGGGATTTTTTAACCGAAAATATTGTGGTTGTCTCACAGGCCTGTTTGTGGCTTTTTTTTAAGGATTATTCTTTTTGCATTATATCTGTTATAAATAATGATATGCTTTTTTACTAAAGTAGTCACTATTTGTAGAAATTTTTATTCATACTGACTTTTGACAATTTTTTCACCATAAATGTATATTTACCCATATTCAATCCCCCAAAATCCAAAGCTTATATAATATATAAGATATCTCATATCCTATATCCTAAATGAGATATCTCATATAGAAATTAAATGAAATATCTTATATAAGTATATAAGATATCATATATGCTATATAAGATATCTGATATAGAATGAGATTTCGGGGCATTAAAAAGCAGAAACTAATTTCTCCCTCGAGAATCATTCGGAGCACATTCAGGATTACATTGGGCGCAATGGCGGAGAGGGATGGTACGGATGCTGTATTTTCCCTAGGCCTAGCTCACCTTGTCTATCTTATAGCGGCCAAAGCAGAGGCTGCCATTTCCCGCACTATTGAAGTGGGCTCAGACATAATGGCGGAGACAGGAACACGTGTTGTTACAACAAGCCTACTGTCCCTACGTAGATCCTCGAGATATTCCGGACGGGGAGACTTCATTTTTGACATTTTGTTAAAATCTCGTTCCTATAAAGATATCTTATTTAGTAACGAGACTTTAATTATATAAGATATCTTATATAGCTATAAGAGATATCTTATATATTATATAAGATATCTTAGCCCCCCTCCTCCCCCTCTATAGTGTCCCCACTATACTGTCTCTCTACTGCTATCACAGCCCCCACCCCCTCCCCTCCGATTCCCCATCCATTCCACCCCTCCTTCCCTCCGATGCCACGCCCATTCCCCACCCCTTCTCTCCGATGCAACGCCCATCCCCAACCCCTTTCCTCCAATGCCACGCCCATCCACCACCCCTTCCCTCCGATGCCACGCCCCCTCCCCTGTGCCCTTGTGTGTGGATGAGGGTGCACAGTGTAACAAGCAGCTGAGGAGCCAGTGCAGACTATATATAGCATATATCAATACATAATGGTAAGCTCAAGCCTTGTATCAATCAGTAAGGAACTGAGGTTGGTTCTTGTTACATCAAAGTTCTTTCATTCCCTAAACTGACTCAAAACATTATTGGCTATTCCTCAACACTATAATTTATGCATGCAATCAAAAATATATTCTAAAATTAGAAGATGATTAGATGTCACTCAACCCTATATAGAATAAGAAATGCATGCATTAACTCATTCACCCCTGAGATTTCATAATGAACTCTTCCAACCTTTGAATTGGAAGAGTACAAATGTGTCTTCAGTGGTGAATGAGTTAATGAAGTTGAATGCATGGAAAATTGGAAAAATCCTTTTTGGCAATTAAGTCATAAATAATAAATTATTTCAATTTTGTTTCTATTTGCATTCCTAAAGCATTATTTTTTACAATGAATACTAATTATAATATATAAGCTCAGGAATAACTGATCTCAACACTAACTCCATTTTTATGAATCCTATCAACAGACTCAAAGTGACATAAGATAATCATTTTCCAATAGAATGGTAATACAATGGTTAACGTATGTAAGTCAACGTGATCAACAGATCATTCATACATGGTTAAATATACATAGCCAGCGATATCATATGGGTAAAAATTCTCCATGCAATGTGATGTACCACAATGTAGGCTAGAGTTGTCTCCCCTCCATTACTGACAGACCGGATTGGTGTGTTTTGTACAAGATTATCTTCAGTGATGTAATGTAAACTTTATTTATTTCCGACAATTATAAATTTGAACTTATATCAATCACTCTTGTTGGCCTGGATGTTAGCGCGCCAGGGGAGGGGGTGTCTTAATGTTGGAGGAACCCAGAGTACGTGGAGGAAACCCATGTGGTCGTGCAGGTGACCCCATACCTCTTCATGTCTAATCTGGGAACTGAACCCCTTGGTGAAAGGCAATTGTGCTACCCACTGCGCCACCCGACCACCCATCCTCAGTGATAACTATTACAAACTTAATTCACTGGAAGATTTTGCTAGTTGTTAATTTGGTGATGTATGATATATCCTGTAGACTAGCTGATAAATAATGAGATTCATTTCTTGTATTAATATTTATAACTCTTATAAAACTAAGGTGAACAAGCTACTAACAGTTGTGTGATAATGGTTTTGGAAATGTTGGTTTTATGATATGCAAATATAACAATCCTGAGTGCTGTGTTCCTCAAAAACTTAATCAAACCTGGTATTCTGTGGAAATGAACATGGCTACTGCATCCCATGGTCAAATGTCTGGAACTTCTGACCTGTATTCCAATAACAAGCCCTGGTGTTCTGTGCTCCAACGTTTAAACCAGTTTATAATACTGTACGCCCTACCTTACCTTAGCTTTCATACCCTTGTCCCGGGGAAACGCGTGGAAGGCATAGAAAGGCATCTTCTCATTGTATGTGACCCACGGGTGCTTTTCTATCTCCACCACGGACAGGCGAAGATCTGGGTTTGGCTCTAGAATCTTTTTTAGAATGTCTTTGCAATCTACAAGGTGAGAGAGGAGTCAAAATGATGTCGGAGAAATATAATACACTTTGTTATGTTTGTAAAAGATTGTATTCTGTCTGTTGGAGACATTATTGTATTTTTGAAACATGCCTGTGGATTCTGACTATGAAAGCCATCTCTCTGACATTGATGTGTGACTCACACGATCTTTAAGTACTCAATCTCCTCAAGAGGTTTTTCAATGGTTCTTTCTTCCAAACCTCACGACCTACTTCTTGCCCCCACCATTCTGCCTCCATGCCCCACCCTTCTGCCTCTATGCCCCATCCCTCTGTCTACAGGCCCCACCCTTCTGTCACCATTCTCAACCCCTCTGTCTCCATTCTCTACCCCTCTGTCGCCATGCCCCACCCCTCTGCCTCCATGTCCCACCCTTCTGTCTCCATTCTCCCCCCCTCTGTCTCCATGCCCCACCCCTCTGCCTCCATGTCCCACCCTTCTGCCTCCATGCCCCCCTTTTTGCCTCCATGCCCCACCCTTCTGTCTCCATGCCCTACCCCTCTGCCTCCATGTCCCACCCTTCTGCCTCCATTCTCCACCCCTCTGTCTCCATTCCCCACCCCTCTGTCTCCATTCTCCACCCTTCTGTCACCATTCTCAACCCCTCTGCCTCCATTCTCTACCCCTCTGTCTCCATGCCCCACCCCTCTGTCTCCATGCCCCCCCCTTCTGTCTCCATTCTCCACCCCTCTGTCGCCATGCCCCATCCCTCTGTCTCCATTCTCTACCCCTCTGTCGCCATGCCCCCCCCCTCTGCCTCCATGTCCCCCCCTTCTGCCTCCATTCTCCACCCCTCTGCCTCCATGCCCCACCCTTCTGCCTCCATTCTCCACCCCTCTGCCTCCATGCCCCACCCTTCTGCCTCTATGCACCATCCCTCTGCCTACAGGCCCCACCCTTCTGTCACCATTCTCAACCCCTCTGCCTCCATTCTCTACCCCTCTGTCTCCATGCCCCACCCCTCTGCCTCCATGTCCCCCCCTTCTGCCTCCATGCCCACCTTTTTGCCCCCATGCCCCACCCTTCTGTCTCCATGCCCTACCCCTCTGCCTCCATGTCCCACCCTTCTGTCTCCATTCTCCACCCCTCTGTCTCCATGCCCCATCCCTCTGTCTCCATTCTCTACCCCTCTGTCGCCATGCCCCACCCCTCTGCCTCCATGTCCCACCCTTCTGTCTCCATTCTCCACCCCTCTGTCGCCATGCCCCATCCCTCTGTCTCCATTCTCTACCCCTCTGTCGCCATGCCCCCCCCCTCTGCCTCCATGTCCCCCCCTTCTGCCTCCATTCTCCACCCCTCTGCCTCCATGCCCCACCCCTCTGTCTCCATGCCCCACCCTTCTGTCTCCATTCTCCACCCCTCTGTCGCCATGCCCCATCCCTCTGTCTCCATTCTCTACCCCTCTGTCGCCATGCCCCACCCCTCGGCCTCCATGTCCCACCCTTCTGTCTCCATTCTCCACCCCTCTGTCGCCATGCCCCATCCCTCTGTCTCCATTCTCTCCCCCTCTGTCTACAGGCCCCACCCCTCTGTCTCCATTCTCCACCCTTCTGTCACCATTCTCAACCCCTCTGCCTCCATTCTCTACCCCTCTGTCTCCATGCCCCACCCCTCTGCCTCCATGTCCCACCCTTCTGCCTCCATGCCCACCTTTTTGCCTCCATGCCCCACCCTTCTGTCTCCATGCCCAACCCTCTGTCTCCATGCCCCACCCCTCTGTATCCATGCTCCACCCCTCTGCCTCCATGCCCCACCCCTCTGTCTCTTGCCCCCCTCCCCCTACCCAGGGAACCTACCACTGGTTATATGAGCCATCTCTCGGTTGTGTTGCTCTATCAGCCCTTTCTCTATCTGTTGAAGCAGTTTCTCCCTACGGTACTGGTCTGTGTAAGGTGTGGTGAAAGGTAGTTTACCAACCACTATTGCATACAGTACTATTCCTCTGCAATGATAAAAGTCATGTGTCAAAACTACTTCCAACAAATATCAATATCTAACTTTCAATTCACCATCCATTAACTTATAAGCTTCTGTTTTGATATCCTTTTTGAAATCAATAGAGGTGTAAGGATTCACTGATGCCCCCACTGGACTTCTGTAAGTCTGTAACTGTACTTCTGTAAGTCTGTAACTGTACTTCTGTAAGTCTATAACTGTACTTCTGTAATTCAGTAACTGTACTTCTGTAAGTCAGTAACTGTACTTCTGTAAGTCTGTAACTGTACTTCTGTAAGAATACAACTATAGTGCTAAAAATCTGTAACTGGATTTCTCAAGTCTTCAGTTTTTCCATAGCAAGGCATTATTATGATTAAGGAAAATTCTTTAGATAAGGTGATTTTCCTTAACTTCAGCCTTTTTATGGAATAACTTAATCTATAAGTTACCAAACATTTGCTAAACTTGATCCGTTGATAACTACTTATTCCGTCTTTGCGTATTGCAGAGTTATCTTCTCTTGTGAGCAGGTTTTGATTGTTACGTCATTGGTTTATGTGAGAAAATTACGTTGTTTTCTCAAAAATTGATGACGTTACTCTCGCAAACAAATGACGTAACAATCAATACCTGCTCACAAGAGCAGATAACTCTGCAATACGAAAACGCGGAACACTTGTTCACACATGAAGGAGGTTATAATCTTACACTCAATCATTTGTACAGTTCAAATCAGTTTCATTGTAGAATGAAGTGTCATCTGACCGTTTATTTGTACAACTTACATGCTCCAGATGTCAATTTCTGGTCCATACTTTCCGGCTGGGCTGAAGAGTTCTGGTGCTGCGTACTCCAGGGAACCACAGTGGGTTTTCATCAGCTCATTGGGGTTAAAAGTGTTGCTGAGGCCAAAATCTGAATTAACACATTTTAACGAAGAATGATTACATCTATATTATTTTAACTTTGTTGGTCATCTAAATTTAATTATGTTTATTTTAGAGTATATGTCATATAATAAATACTTAAGAGGAAAAGTAAGCATGAAAAATGTCATCTACTTTTTTTTAAGTAAGACCTGCATTCTAATCCTTTGAAAATTTCTTCCAAAACTCTACCACTGTCTGAAATGATATTTGGTACTGGAGTTACTTCCCTTAGACTGTAGACAAGCTTGTAACCTGGGACTAGATAAAAGGTTCTGCAGATAATTGCTGGTCCTTATCTGATTCTAATTATCCCGCTGTCCAGAAATGTCATGCATGGTGCATTAGTATTGGTCAGTGGACATGATATATGAGAAGTTAATTACTGTATGTCTCTGAAGTGACCGCTGGTCAGAAGGGTCAGTCTGTATTCTGCATCAGCAGCAGCCACTGTAGCCCTAATTAAACTGTAGTTGTTGGTCAGTTAGAATACCTCCATTTATCACTGACCATCAAACTACTTGTCCTGAGAGGTCAAATGTGGGTCAACATTATACCAGTGACCAAACTTCACCCTAAACTCTTTTGCTGACCAAAGTATATTTTTGCTCCTTATCACCAACCACCTGTGTATGTGGCCATCCCTGATATTTACGTTCCCACAAACTCCCCAAAACACACAGACTCTTACATAACTAGCACTCTGCAATCAGAACATATGGCAAGATAGAAACATTGGGTTAATTATCAGGATCATCAAAATTCATCCCGATTTATTGTTTGAAAAATAAGTTCGTTTGTAAGACATAATATATAATTTTATGCCACTGATTGGAAGAAAATTGGTGAACTTTTTTACTTAAAACAGTCTGCCCAGTCAAGTTTTTTTCACTATATGAAATTACTACCAGAAATAATGCTGACAATCGATTTATTGTTTTGTTTCAAATAACATTTAGGGGATGACCTTATTAAACAGAATGGCTCTGTGACCTTAACCTTACACTCTCTGTCTGTTTCACACTGATGTGACCTTGATCTTAGATCCTCAGACAGTTTTACACGAATGTGACCTTGAGCTTCACTCTGAATAATAATGGTGAAATTTCTTATTTTGAGAAAATTAATGTTTAAATGTTTTATAACAAGTCATCTTGAACAAAGTGACTTTATGACCTAGACCTTCATCTTTCACATGTTAATACTGTATTTCCCTTTTTTCTTTTTGAACAATTGTAAAATGTTTCTTTAATTTTAATTCATACCTTCACAAGATATGGACAATGACTAGATGTGATTAGGCTCAATCACCACCACCTTATACTTTGTGCCCTATTCCATGCTCTAACTGGGACTCTGGCTAAGGACAATTTGACTCATAGCTTTGAAGCACAATTTACCACTCCTTGTCCTAGTTTGGTTCCCCAGATTTTCTCTCCCAGATCAATATTCGTCCCCCAAGCCTCAGTCTGGCCCAGAGTTACTGCTGATCACTGTCAGTTGAATGCTTTATTGCCATATCTATAATCTCTGGACATTACTAAAATATCAAGCACCACAACCAGGTCCTATAAGACAGCTGTTATATAGGAAATAAATGTCTATTAGTCCAGCTCAACATAACCCACAGACACAACAAACATATGCAAGGAAAGGCGAGCAGCAATGTACAATGTAGGTCCTAGAAAAACCAGACTACAATAGCTGGATCTGGTCTGGTTCTAGTGGTGTATCAAGAGGCCCAGTAGGCCTGTTACACAGACCTTACTACAATAGCTGGATCTGGTCTGGTTCTAGTGGTGTATCAAGAGGCCCAGTAGGCCTGTTACACAGACCTTACTACAATAGCTGGATCTGGTCTGGTTCTAGTGGTGTATCAAGAGGCCCAATAGGCCTGTTACACAGACCTTACTACAATAGCTGGATCTGGTCTGGTTCTAGTGGTGTATCAAGAGGCCCAATAGGCCTGTTACACAGACCTTACTACAATAGCTGGATCTGGTCTGGTTCTAGTGGTGTATCAAGAGGCCCAATAGGCCTGTTACACAGACCTTACTACAATAGCTGGATCTGGTCTGGTTCTAGTGGTGTATCAAGAGGCCCAGACTGGCCACCGTCTCTAGAATATTAAATAATTAAGAAAAAACTAACTCTAATAATTTTTATCACTTGGATGTCTGATTGCCTAAGTTCTAAACTAGGGGGAGATAAGCTAGTAGTAAAATGCAGTCGAGAAATTCTTCATAAAAACTTAGGGGCTGGTGGCCAGTCTACAAGAGGCCCAGTAGGCCTGTTACACAGACCTTACTACAATAAAGTGGTAAGTTGACTTTATTTATGTACTTCATCAAAAAATAAAATGTAAACAACTTTGGTAGTTTATATTTTCTACTTAATTATATAATGACATTTTGCATATATATATATATTAAACAGGTAACAATATCAGTTGATGTTTTTATTGCATCAAGGAGCACTGAGTGTTCCTCAAAATGATGTCAACTGTCTAAGCACATGACTTTTCAAAGCATTTACGCACAAAATTATACAAGTGTAACGTTGATCTGTTTTAGTAAACATCGAGGTTTATCCTGCTAGTTTAAAACGTGTCAATGCAACAGCGATCTAAAATGTATGTATGATGCCGCGTGGTTAAATGTTATATTACGTTAAACACCGGTAAAAATCATAATTAAATCATCTGTGACAATGGACCAAAGGGTTGCAATAACTATTACGACACTTCTCTATCACAATTAAAATATGAATTAAATTACTTATATTTTTAGATACAATACTTACCGACTATTTTGATGTTTTTCTTCTTTTCATCCAGCATTATGTTTTCCATTTTCAAATCTCTGTAAAGACAGAATAAAATAGCCTGTTAATTATGATTGATAGAAGATTACAAGTAACTTAGGATAACATATAGTATGACATTTTATATTAACTCATTCACCCCTGAAATTTCACAATGAACTATTCCAACCTTTGCATTGGAAGAGTTCAAATGTGTCTTCAGGGGTGACTGGATTAATTACTAGACGGGACAGTTCAGACCCTCAGTGGTCACAGACAGTCTGGGGTACCTCCAACACTTGTGGACATGGTAAATCACCATTTGTTTAATTTCTCAATCATTTAAATGATTAAAACAAAAGTGGAACAAGTTATTATTCAGCATAACACATAAATGTTCAGGTTGTACAATAAATAGGTAGGTTTTATTCACCAGCCCTACTCAACCACTTCTCAAACCCTAATATCTAAGGTTAACTCATTCACCCCTTAAAACACATTTGAACTTTTCCAATTCAAAGGTTGGAATAGTTCATTATGGAATTTCAGGGGTGAATGAGTTAAACTTTCTGCTTAGGATTTCAGACAGTGACAGTTGAAATCCGTCTGCTTACCTATATGACTTACATATATATTTCTCGTGTTGATATACTACCACAGTATATAACTCTACCAGCTGTAGGAATAACTTTACATTTCGTAACTTTACGTGAATTATTCCAGCCGTTATCATTCAGTTACAAAATATGTAGATATTCAAAGAATTTAGCCGATAATACATTTCTGATGTTAATTATCATCTCAAATAAACTACTAGATACATAATTCATCTTCTATCAAAACAATTTAATAATGTGTAAATTTGTGTTGATTTAATTGATGGAAAATAAGTGAAAATATTCTTGTCACAATATTTGCTATTAACATATTACATCGTGAAATATTTGTTATTTTTCTTGTCATTTTTTGATAGACTTATGAGAATAATACAATGAGTGTGCCTTTATTTGATTGACTTTTTGTAATTGTTGTCATTCTCAAAACTGGTGTCCTTATTTAGAAGATTTTTTTGGAACATTCTAAAATTCAAATGTTCCATATTAAGTTTGTTTTTTCCTGAAATTCTAGTCAAGAAGTGATGTCTCAACTTACTTCATTGATACAGCACTATTTCATTTGACATACAGAGAAATATACCCACCGCAAATTGAGAAAGTTCTAAAATTTCATGACATTGAACCTTTGACTTAATTGTAGTAATTCAAGTCCTTTTTCTATCAGGTAAAATAAGTGTTTATTTTAAAAGGTTGTACATGACTGTAGTGTATCTGGTTTTTTAATTGCTTAACCCTTTCACCACTGTAGACCATAATGGACTCATCCAGATCAATGCATGGTAGAGTCTACTAAAGTTACATAGGAGTGAAAGGATTAAGTAAATTGCTCGAAATTTCAACTTTGATTTTTTTTTCCTGAAATGAGATTTATAGAAGTTTAAAGAGCTTTAAACTCGAACAAAATGAGTTTAAGAAAAGGAACTTTAAATTCAGCATAAAGATCTTCAAATCCAATCATTGAGAGCTTCAAATGAAACATACAGAGCTTAAAACCGCGGATGGCTACGTAAAGACACTATATACATCAGTAATTTGTGGTATATGTTGTATGTTGGTACATGGCTAGGAAACAAAGCTAGTCTAGTTGATCGTTTGGGGAATTTGTATCTCGGATATTTAAACTCAGTTAATTATTTCAGTTCTTTTTCTGACAAAAAAAAAATGACGAAAATTGATCTGATTGTCTTTTTGTGCAAGTGATGTATCGTTGTACTAAAACAGTTATTGATGTTTATAAAACGTGCCGTGAATTTGTCACCAATCAGCGGGCACAGTGTGGACTAAGCCAAGGATTACCACGCTATAGTCAGAATAGCATCAACCTGTTGCCATGTTGATGTGAATTCTATAAACTTTGAGTCCATCATCTCCTGGACTAGTTTTTGATGACCAGTAACCTCTTGGCTAATTTACTCATTTTCCCATTGCAATCAAATGTAAATGACTCAAACAGTCAGAGATAAAAATCAAAGTGGCGATAAAATCATCACAGGCCTGCTTCTCCATGGAGGGCTTTACTAGGTGCAGTTGCTGGGTGCCTTGTACATGTTTACCCAGCATATCTGTCGGCCCCCAATAGAGGACAGCCATATTCTATAGGTAAAGATAGGTATAAATGATAAGTTTCACAAATATACAAGAGATCAACAACAAGGGCTAGTATTCCACTGATAAAGTCACTTAATGGCCTTCTAATAAGGAGATAAGAGTACAGGTATTTCCAGGAGGTAGGTCTGAGGCAGAGGACAATGTCTGGGGACACAATATTCCTGATAACAGTAACACAAGGAGAGATCAAGCTCTCCGACCAAACAATACTGGAATCCTCACTTGCTGGGAGCCTGGACCTACATGGGATCGTCACCGATAAACAAGGGAATTAATCACAGCTGATTATCACTCAAAAGGTTTTCCTGCTTCTTCACGTTTGACAAAAATGATACATGTACCTAAGGTTTTTCCATGAAGACTTGTCTCCCCTAGACCACAGGCACCGCCTTCCAAGTACCAATAATTAGGCATGAGTGGTGACGGGGAACTGTTACAGGGTCAGTCCATCAAAAACTGCCTCTATTAAAGAAATGTTGACCCCGGTGATCTGTACTTAGGTGAGTTGGTAGGAGGGGAAGCCCTGAAGCAGACCACTAACTTTCTAAGACTGACCAATTAATGGACCCAGTGGGTCATCGCCCAGACAAATGAATAGGTTACATTCATATCAATATTTGTTCTCCCTCCATTATCCATTCAAACAGTCCTTGACCATTCAGTGTCAAATAAATATTATTCTATTTTTTATGTGAATCTCACTAAGGATCTGTATAAAGTATGTGTTTAATGTTTTTAATCATTTACCAGACTATTCCTGTCCGATAGTATCTCCATATACCTCCGGTTTCTTAGGACAAAAATCTTGTTTATCATTTGTTAAACAAAAAAATGTGTTGACCTTGTGTTGTATGACAGTGTGTTTTGTCGGTCAGTCTCGGTCAGTCTCAGTCAGTCTCGGCTCTAATGTCCCTCTGGTGACACTGGCTGATCAATTCACAGAACGTTGATCCTTTAAACTTAATCAATGTATCAAATATTTGTGTACTGTACATACATATACATACAGGTGCTCCAGCTAAGACCATTAAATCTCTGACCACTGGTCAACTGAAATAGCTGTCTTAATGATAGGGTTTCGGGTTACAAGCATGTCCAATCCTCTATACATCAAAAGATCCGGCAGCCAAATTAATGTTCTCAGCCGCCCTCTACCCATTGTAAGTCCGACTTATGAATTGAAGAGTATGCTAATATAGTGACTTATCTATGGTTATCCTGGGTAGTGTACTGTGGAATCTGGAGCAAATCTCCCACACCTGGATACACCATTAACATATACATACCACTATCATATCTACAGCTATACATACAGAACACCTTATAAAGTTGTGAATCTTTTGATTATTTTACCACCAAAGTTCTTATATATATCTTAATACCGTAGGATTTGTCAACATTATTTCTCCGTCAAAAGTCAAAACAGTGAAAGCTTCGTTTTAGTCAGAATCATTTAACAGCCTCTAATTGCTTGTCAAAATGAAAGGCTTCCCTGTCGATGATTGGAGTCGAGGATCAGGAAAGATTTTGGATATTAAATTCAAATTTAAATGTTGTCAATTATTAATGTTCCTGGCCTGGTCAAAACGTCATTTTGCATACAAGCACATATTGTAAATCAACACATTTCCACTTGACAGTTTTATTTTACAGCAAATTGACATCTGGACAAGCCATGTTAATAAAACAGAGTCATGAGCAGGACACTAGGATTTCTGGATTTAAGGGAAATAACAAAAATGAAAAGAAAAATTGAAAATTAGGAATCATTGAGTTGATCCTATATCACACATTGAGTTGATCCTATATTACACATTGAGTTGATCCTATATCACACATTGAGTTGATCCTATATCACACATTGAGTTGATCCTATATCACACATTGAGTTGATCCTATATCACACATTGAGTTGATCCTATATCACACATTGAGTTGATCCTATATCACACATTGAGTTGATCCTATATCACACATTGAGTTGATCCTATATCACACATTGAGTTGATCCTATATCACACATTGAGTTGATCCTATATCACACATTGAGTTGATCCTATATCACACAAGACTTGTAAGACACCAGTAAAACACGATGACCAGTGTATCTACACACAAACACAGGTGAGGTGATCATGAGTGTGTCTATTTTCCTTGCTATAGACCTCAGGCTCTGTAACCCCACGCCTGGTCATGTGTTTCTTTGATATCAATCTCTGCTATTGACCACTCACACAGGTGTATTACATCAGACGCAGTTGGCTCCCTGACAAACATTTGTCAAATGCAAACACTGAAGCTTACAGCAAAATAAATACAGACCAATATCATTACAAACTCATTATCGTTGAAATCAATCCTTAAAACAGAGTGATGAGGTTTCTGTCTGATATCTGACATAACACCTGTTTATATCATGCCTGATTATAGCATAGCTGTTTGTATTATAATTCCTGTTAATATCATACCTGTTCATAAAATGCCTGTTAATATCATACCTGTTCATAAAATGCCTGTTAATATCATACCTGTATATGTACTTCTACCTTTTAATATCATGCCTGATAATGTAATATTTGTTAATATCACTTTAAGTACTTTATTTACAATACACCTCCCATTCATTTTGATGGTAATAATTCACTAACATGTGACCTGTATATACCTATTTTCCATGGTAATAACTGGCTGACATAGGACCTGTATATATATACTTGTTTTTCATGCACCTTAATGACACTGACACCACAATACTGTTTGCTAATATATTCTCAGTGTGATACAGTCAGAGACTGTTTGTTTTTGGTTAGTTGACATTTTGACT